ACGCCTCGTTAAACAGATTAAATTGATCATGTCTGCTGAATAGAACCATTCAGCAGTAAATACATTGCAATTTTATTCCTATCAGTTAGGACCACCACAAGGCAATTAAGGCCAAAACATTGGTTAATTAATGTGTCCTTCAACTACTAATGTCATTGAATATGGACATGAAGATGATGATCTAGATAAAGTTATAAAGTGTATTTTTACTGTTGTATCACCATGTGCTTGATTTTCATACCTTTTAAGGATTTTTGATCTAGACTTCTATCGAGCAAACAAACAAACATATAAGTGCTGAAATGTTTGTTGTAAATATCTTCATGATATTAAACATTTCCTAAAATTTAACTGGATATGGTCAAGACTCCATTATAGTCAAGAAAATGCGACATGTTATATACCAATTCTCTCCTTATTCACAAATTCATTCTGGGAGGTCAGAATCTGTTTCCAAACTTTGCTCATGTGGGTACATGTAGCTTAAGGTAGTTCACTACAATTAAAACATTGACAGAAAATGATTACAGTAAATCATTCAAAAATTGTTGTGTGATGATTCACGTACATGCAAGTCATATTTAACGTTTTTACGGAGAAAGAAGAATATGTTTCCAAGAAAACATATGCATGATAATCTAAAAAGCGGCCATTTTGGAACATTTTCCATAGGATTCCATGTAAACACATTATTTCATGGATAACCTACATGCAGTATGCTGATATTTATTTGTTTTCCCCGATTTGGCATGAATTAAATGTTAAGCAAATGAAAAAAAAAAATATTTTTAAAGAATTCCATTTTGCTCACTATTGTATATAAATATAAATTGTAAGTAGTAAAATGATTACATAAAAATATACAGGTTTGGGAGAAATTTAGATGTAAATCTTTTCAGTAAATGTTTTTTTGATTAAAAGATTTGATTTTAATTATCACTAAGTTTGCTTGCATTTTCCATCATTTTTTTTAAAAAAAGCAAGAAGTTTTTTAATAAATTGAGAGGAATCTTCTAATCATATTTTTGAAAGTGAGATACAGGCAAAAGTCTAACATGAATTTTTAGGTAGTGTTACTGGAGCACTTCCTTATTATATATTTCTTATAATGTCTTCATGACTAATGAGCAATGATTGGTCTTGCTGATGTCACATGTTCAATTTGAAATGCATAATTTCAGTGTTGCACATTTTCAGTGTTAAGATAGTGTTAGGCTACATTCGATTGCTTTAAATTTATGTTTTTACGTAAACTGTCACCACCCTTCTTACAATCAATTTTTTTGATATTTATGATCTGAGCACATTTCACCTGACGCATGGACTAGCTACGTTTCCTCATTCGTTATGTCGATCTTTGATTCTTTAATCCGACTGCGCAATGCGTCTTGATCTTAACTTGACATGGCAGACTCTCTGGGCAATTTGTTCTTTTTATTGAACCTAAAACTGCAGGAAACTACCTTTGACCTCAGGGGGTCAGTTTGATGTACATTATAATAAGCAATTGATGAGTATTAACCTACTGACCTTTTTTATTTGTGTCCCCCCTAGAAGAAAGTAATGAAATCCCATGGTTCCTTGCTGTGAGGCTCCTTAGTCTAGTTTCAAAATTAAAGATAATACACCTTGAACAGTTTAGTTTGTTATAATCTGAATTTATTCTGTTGAAATGCAGGAAACCTGAGAATAAATGAAATTAGGGTATGAAATGCTTGGAATGGTAAATGTATGCTCACTGAAGTTACAGCTGCATGCAGGGGGCAAAGCTCAAATTAAAGCTCTGTGAATCTCAATCAAAGTATAAGAAAAAACAGCCAGTCCTAGAAAAAAATATATTCTTGTTCATTGCATGAATGTTAAACATGGCATTCATCAAAGATTTTTTTTTTTAAGTTTGTGTCTGATTTGAAGAACAAAACACAAAAAAAAATCCAATCTTCATAAAAAATCAAAATAAAACCTTATGTTTATGACAATTTTAAATTCAAAAACCATCTATGTGCATTAGTTCAACAGTGGTTTTGTTTCTATGTTATGTTTCCATGGAGTGTTATATGCATTCATGAAATTATATTTGTTTAATATTCATTGTTTTTAGTCCCCGTTCGGACGTAGTCCGAAAACGGGGACTTATGGTTTGCCCTGTGTGCGTCCGTCCGTGCGTCCGTGATCACCTGTATCTCGAACATGCATGGATCGATTAAGTTCAAACTTCACTCATACATCACACATTATATGGGACATATGCACATGCATTTTTTTCATGATCCGATTAACGATAGCCGAATAGCGGCCATTTTAAGGCCGAAAATGCATCAAAA